AGCAGGCTTCCCACGGAGCAGGGAGCTCAATGCGGGGCTCGATCCCAGGACCCCAGGATCATGACCTGAGCCAAAGGCAGACGCTCAACAACTGAGCCACCCAGGTGCCCCTCTTCCTGGCTCATTCTTATCTAGCCACATTAGTCTCCTTGGTTTTTGGGGTGTTTTTTGTTTGTTTGTTCGTTTTTAACCAAATCTGGCACACTCCTGCATCAGAGATTTTGTACTTGGTCAGTATGGACTGCTCTTCCCCCAGAAATACATACGTACAAGGTACTTCGCCTTGTTCAGGCCTTTGATAAAACCTCACCTTCTCACCGCCTTTCCCTTTTTTTTTTTAAAGTAAGCTCTACGCTCAACTTGGGACTTGAACTCACTACCCCAAGATCAAGAGTGGCATGCTCTATGGACTGAGCCAGCCAGGCACCCCTGATGCCTTTTCTTAGTGCAATGAGTGAACACTTAAATGTGCAGTGAGTGAACACACTCCTCTCCCTTAACACTTTCGAAGTCTTCAACACAGTACTTACCCATCTGACATTCCATACACAGCATTTACTTACTTTTTAAAATCTGCCCTGCCAGTAAGTTTCATGAGGGAAAATACTTTGTCTATCTTGTTCACTGCAATATCCCACTGCCTAAATTAGGGCCTGGGAGAGTAAGCACTCATAAGTTGTTTACTGAAAACATGATGGAACTCTTTTCACTGTCCCAAGCCACTGAAACACAGCACTCTCACTTTTTGTAAACAGTCCTCATCTTGACACTCAAAAAGGATCAGCCCTACTTAGGGCTGCAGCATTTTCTTCTGGGTTATCCGAGTCAGTCCTGAAAGCCAAAGCAGTAGCACACCCTTGAAGCTGACGCTTCGACTTTCTTTGAACTTTGCCATCTCCATGGTCTACTGTTTCCTTGGTTTCTCCTGACCCTTAATAATACTCTTCAACTACCGTTTATCTTAACATTCAAAAGACTCTAAATTCCGCTTCGAATTCTAATTTCCGCTTCTAACTTTGAATTCCTTCTGCACAGATCTCTCCCAGTTCAACCCCAATCTCCGTTTTCTCTCGTCGCCTGCCTTCATAAAACCGACTTTTTCCTCTAGTTCCGCCAGTGCCATTTCTCCATCTCCTCCACTTCTCCCACACGCTCATCTTATGCACTCAGTCTTCCCGCCTCAGTTTCGCATCTCTCTAAACCTCCTCAGCCCCTGGGGTCTTTCGTACTTCAATCCTCGTCTCCATTCTAGGCGCCAACTCCTCCCATCTATCCCATCACCATTATCCTCCTCCACGTGCGCGCGCGCACACAACATACCCACCCACCCAACCCATTTACTCACCCATGTGGTCTGTCTCCCTAGACCCCAAGCCAGCACCTCACCAGTCCAGAACCCGCGCGCACAACACGCACGCACATACACAGACACAAAGCCACCCACCCTTCAGGTCTGTCTCCCTAGGCCCAAAGTCAGCCACTCACCAGCCCAGAACCCAAGAATACGGAACTTGGGCCATACATAGGTTAAATGACCTCTCGACCCGCCTAACAGTTGATAAATGACTCACATCTGAAGTCAAAGTTTCTTCCAGATGACCGGTCTGGATTAGGCCTCTATAACTCCAGAGTCTCAAGCCACCCGCAGAGCGAAGCGCCTAGAAACGCAGATGTTACGCTCCTAGCGCGCCGCCATGTTGGGCAAGCATCCAGCCTCGTGATTGGACGAAACACTCTCGCGCGACCTGTAGCAGAGTCTGAAGAAGGAAAATCCATCGCGAGACCTGGAGTTTGCAGCTCCTGACACAAGGAAGGGGCGTGGTAGCAAGCGGAGTGTTTTGCGTGAGGGCACCTGCGTTAGAATTTCTTTGGGACCTTGTTTGTTTTGTAAAGTAGGTTTTAAAAAATGAAGTTGTAGCTTTCCGGGTCCCACTTCAGACTTACTGAATCACACTCTCTGGGGTTAGGCGGGAATATGAGGATGGCGGAAGGCGGGGAGCTTTAGGATTTGATGGCGGGCAGTTAGCATTTATTCTGCAACAGGTCTCTTGCTTCATGTGTTGTCTCATTTAATCATCACAGATAAACCTGTGATATGAGAAGGAGTAATCTCATTTACAGAGGAAAAACTGGGGATCAGAAATATTAAGTCATTTGTCCAAGATCTTACACCCAGATGACATCAAATCCATGTTTTGTGTTTCCTCGCCTGCCTCTTGAGCTGGAAGCTCTATTAAATGCTTTTCGTTTTTCTTTTCAACTCGGTTATACTAATTTTTACTCTCTGGCCAGTAGAGTGAGCATTAGTCTCATTTCACAACTGAGACAAAAAGGTAAATCACTTTCAAAAGGCATACAGTTAAGGCTAGGACTAAAGTCAGCCTCTGGAGCCCCACCTAGTAACTCCATTAAAGCTTTCCTGTGTCCCAGTAATTAATGCGAAAGCTTCTGGCAAAACATTGCTATAAAATTGAGAGATAAAGGGTAAGAAAGGAAGATTTAAGTTTTATGTAGAACAAAGTGTACCATTTGTCACCCAAGGAAAGCAAGGAGGTGTTCTCATTATCTATTGTGTAACAAACCACCCCAAAATGTATAGCTTAAAACAACAGCTGTTTTATTTGCTCATTGTTCTGCAGTCTGGGTTGGAATTAGCCCAACCATTCTTGTTCTGTATTTGCTGTTGATGGTAGCATCAGCTGGTGGCTGGTTCAGCTGGAGTGGCTGGGCTCCCCTCTCCCTGTAGTCTCAAATTCTCTCCCTCTCTTTGTGACATTTCCATATAATTTCTCCAGCAGAGTAGCCAGATTTCTTACATGTTAGCTCAGGGCTCCAAAAAGGGCAAAAGTGTAAGCTGCTAGGCTTTCTTAAGGCTTAGGCCCAGACTGGTGCGTTCATTATTCACTCAATTCTATTTGTTAAAGCAAGTCAAAGGGCCAGCCCAGATTCAAGAGGAGGGAATTATGCCAGGATACACTACAATACTGCAAGCCATGGTTCACTGGATCTACCAATGAACAGAACACCACAGAAAGTTTTTTGTCTTTGGTTGGTAGTGATTTTGGTACTGGTTATTTTTACAGTATTTAGTGCTTGCTTCTGGAAAGGTAAAAGAGAAAATGGCATTGGAGGTATGACTGTAGGGTTGTAAGTGGATTATATTTTAGATGCTGGCGAATTTCTCTATCTGCTCCAGAGATCCAACTCCCCCATGGGTCAAACCAGAGAGATTCTAGCTCTATAGCCAGGGAATATCAGCTTTAATCATGCCCCCAACCACATACTAACCCTGTGATGATGGACAATTTACTTAAACTATTTAAGCCTAGGTTTGTTCAATATTGCCAAACAGTATTGCCAACATTGCCAAATAATCTCATAGGGTTGTTGTGAGAATTAAATCAGGTAATACATATAAAACAGCATAGTTTCTGGCACATAGTAAGCTATCATTATTATTATTATTATTATTATTCCTTATAATTTCTTTGGTCAGTTTCCATTTTTAAAAATTATTTCATAATGATAAAACTTGTTCATTATAGAAAATTTGTAAAAAATTTAAATAATACAGGAGACTATAAGAAAGAAAGCAAAAATTATCTAAAATCTCACCACCTAGAGCCAATTACCAAAATTTGTTAACCTTACTTCCAGACCTCTATATGAAATATATATATATTTATATTTATATGGATCTATAGCTCAACTTTTTTATAGAAATAGCATTATATATTTTTTTCTCAGATATAAGTCTTGGAGGTTGTCCTACCTCAATTAATATATATATATATTTTTTTAAGATTTTATTTATTTATTTGACAGAGAGAGAGACACAGCAAGAGAGGGAACATGAGCAGGGGGAGTGGGAGAGGGAGAAGCAGGCTTCCCGCGGAGCAGGGAGCCCGATGCGGGGCTCGATCCCAGGACTCTGAGATCATGATCTGAGCCGAAGGCAGAGGCTTAATGACTGAGCCACCCAGGCGCCCCTGTATTTCTATATCATCCTTTGTGATAGGTGCATAGTATTCCATTGAATGGATGTGCCATAATTTTTTAAAACTAATTTCCCTATAGGTGGGCATAGATTGGCCTATTCCTAAAATTATGGTACAATGATAAATACATCTCATTTAAAAAATTTTTTTTACATTAAATGAATATTGTTTAGAGACTCCACAAAATAGATTAATAACATATTCAACATCTGCCTCTTAGGGCTTATCTCTCTGACTTACCTTCAAATCCTCAAGAATTTAATCTTGTAAGAGAAGTCTGTCCAACTTCAATACCCCATCAATGACAGTATAGGCATTCAATTAGTCTATTACATCCTTTGCTTTTTGCTGCTGCTTTGTAGTAGGAAACTGATTCTGCACATTTGGTGGGTAACGCTGCCAATTCTGAAATGTTGCAGAGTTGCTACCAGACCTGCTTTCAGCATCAGCCATTGCCTGGGCTGAAATCAACCTTGAGGACATCATCCTGAACTCCCACTTTACTGAAGTTAACGATTTCAAAGAACTTGTTACTCTACCCTGCCACTCTCCTTTGGCCGGGGCCAGTCAGACAACGTCCACAGGTCTCTCTAACTTCATGTCTTAGAGAGTAATGATTGAGTATCAATTCCTTATACCCCAGAAGACCATGACTTACTTATGTAAATGTATTCAGTTCCTTCTGGGGGACCAAGTTAGTATGTCAGAGATCTAATGGCCACCTTAATTAAGTCACAAAAGATACACTCTAATCCCAAAACAATGACTGTTTCTCAGCCTACATTTACATAACTGAGAGAGCTACTCAAGTGATGCTTTATATTTTTCATTTTATAAATAATGCTCTGGGGCACCTGGGCAGCTCAGTTGATTGAGCATCTGACTCTTGATTTCGGCTGGGGTCATGGTCTTGAGGTGGTGGGATTGAGCCCCGCATTGGGCTCCACACTCAGCGGGGAGTCTGCTTGAGATTCTGTCTTTCCCTCTCTCTCTGCGTCTACCTCCTAACGCCCTGTGCCACACATGCACTTTGTCTCTAAAATAAATAAAAGAGTCAGACGCTTAACTGACTGAGCCACCCAGACACCCTAATAAATCTTTAAATAATAATAATAATAATGGGGCGCCTGGGTGGCGAAATTGGTTAAATATCAGATTCTTGGTTTCAGCTCAGGTTGTGATATTAGGGTCCTGGGATCGAGCCCCGTGTTGGGCTCTGCACTCAGTGTGGAAATCTGCTAGTTTCTCGCCCTCTCTCTCGGTCCCTCCCCCCAACCATGCACACTCTCTGGTTCTGTCTCTCAAATAAATAAATATATAAATCTTTAAATAATAATAATAGTGCTGAATTCTTTAAAGACTTGAAAAATAAATTTCAAAAATTAATACTTGGTGGAAGAACTGGATCTAAATGTACATCTGACTACTCTCCTTCCTGTTCCAAGTCTCATAAAACAGAGTATATTAATTTAAAAAACAATAAATTCCAAATAGGACTGAAAACCCAGAAATAGTGCCATTGACAGACCAGAAACTTTGAGGATACTCTGAAAAAGCAGGACCCAAATAGGAATAACAACTGAAATGCCAAGAGATTTTTATAGGGAACTACAGATGATTTTGAAATATATCTGGAAAACAAAATGTGCAAGAACAGCTAGTTTTTCCAGTTGGAAAAAAAATTATACCACACATAAAATAAAGCCCATATGGATAATAAAAAAAATAATTATGAAAACAAAATCAACTATAGAAGTGTTAGAAGAATGTAGAAGAATGTTTTTTTATAAAAAGAATAGGGAAGGTCTCCTAAAGACACAAAACTCAAAAACCATAAGGGAAATGATTGCTAAATTTGATTATATAAAAATTTAAAAATTCAATATAATAAAAGATACTACAAATAATTGACAACGAGCAGGGAGAAAATATTTGCAATATATATAACAAAGAGTTATTATCCAAGGTACATTCTCAAACAATGTCAAATCAATAATAATCAAACGTGAAAATGAACAGTGGATATGAAAAAGAAATTCACAAAAGAGTATATATAGTAAACCAATGAATATATATGAAAAAATGCTCAAATGCATAAGTAATCATAGAAAGGCATAGTTAAATAACTATACCATTTGTAACACATCATATTAATAAAAACAAAAAATATTGATAAGGATGCCTGGATGGCTCAGTCGGTTGAGCATCGGCTTTTGGCTCAGGTCATGGTTCCAGGGTCCTGGGATCAAGTCCCATGTCGGGCTCCCTGCTTGGCTGGGAACCTGCTTCTCCCTCTCCCTCTGCCTGCCGCTCCCCCTGCTTGTGCTCTCTCTCTTGCTCTCTCTCTCTGACAAATAAGTAAATAAAATCCTTTAAAAATATATTGATAATGTCCAAATATGGCAAAGACTAGTGTGTTGGTTAGTTTTTGCTGTGTAACAAGCCATCCTAAAACTTAGTGGCTTAAAACAACGGCATTAATTATCACTCACAATTCTGTACATCAGCTGGGCAGTTATTGTGGTTCACTGATCTCTGCAGTTTACCAGAGGTTAAACTGGGGCTTGGATGGTCTAGGATGACCTTATTCACAGGCCTGGCAGTTGGCAGGCTGGTTGGTCTAGGGTCAGGGTCAGCAAACTATTCCCACTGGGCCAAATCTGGCCACACCTATTTAGTTACATATTGTTTATGGCTGTTCTCACAACACAGCAACAAAG